GCGCTATACTGGGCTGCGATAGCTGGAAGGGAGGCTGCCAACAGCATCCGATGAGTACAGGCCAGGAATGAACCACGTGTCCTATAAAACACAGCAAAGCCACCCAAAATGTCGAGGGTGCCGATGCTGAGAACCCCAGATCAGAGAAGCAAGCGGAGAGTGACAGGCAGTGGGACCTGCAGAAAGACGTCTCGGCAGGAGATGCGAGCCCGCTGATCACCACCAGAGGCGTGGTCCTCACAGCCGGCAGACTGCAGATGAGCACCCTGCGGCTGGGGCAGCTAGGTGAGGAGGTCTGCACGCACAGCATTCTCTGGACGAACAGACCGGCGAAGGAGCAGGGGCAGCTAGGCAGCCGAGAGGAAAAACCAAGGGTGAGGACTGCAAAGAGGTGTTAGAAGTTCAAAAAGGGAGAGTAGAGCGAGGTAGGGCGTACGCTCAGGCTCAGGGGGTCACGGGTTTAAAACAAGACTAGAGATCCAGCTGCGTGGTTGCAGCCGCAAGGCATGGGGTTAGACTTTACCAGGTGTGGCTCTGCCGAGAGAGTGAGATGAGCAGTCAGGGCCGAGGGAACTGCGGTGCACACAGGGAGTGACCGTCACAATGACTTGGAATTGAAGCTTTGCAAGGGAGAGAAAACAGCAGGGGGCGGGTGAGGGGCAGTGAGAAGGTGGGAGAATCAGCGGATCATAGACTGGACAAACGAGAGACAAATAGACCCAGAGAGAACTGCTGGGTACCAGAGTCAAGCCGGAGAAAGGTTCATATAACCGAGATTTTACATGGTTAAGATTATGGCTCTTAAAAACCAAAACCAAACCCCGAGACGTGATTGCCTGAGACAGAAGCAAGCTCAAGGAAGTGAGAAGCCGGGCTGCGGGGAAGTCACCGGCACGATACCGACATCGTGACAGGAGCAGTGGGAAGTGACTGGGCACGGGGAGCCGCCATCCTGAACTCAGGGAAGTGACCCTGCGGCCAGGGGAGGATGGCAACCCCGGGGGGAGCAGGCCACAGAGTGTAGACATGAAGACAGGCGGTCCCACTTTCTTACACATTCTACAACAAAAGTACATTCTCTCGTCGGAAAAAGGTTACTGTAAAAATTGTGGGACCACCTCAAATCCTCTTTTGAAACCCCAGATATAGACGCATATATGCACGTGTAAACATACATACACGTTTAAATACACCCCCTCCAATAAGACTCTTTGATACAGAGTCTCTAACTGAGTCAGATGCATCAGAAAAAGAGTAAAAATTATTTTGTTTCTGTTTTGGTGCTGGGGATTGAAGCAGAACCTCCTGTATGCTAAGCAAGTGCTGTACCACTGAGCTATACCCAAAGCCCCCAAACAGTAAAAACTTTTCAAAATAAAAAGCAGCACACTGGGGCTGGGGATTTAGCTCAGCGGCACAGCACCTGCCTGGCAAGCGCAAGGTCGTGAGTTCTACTCCCGGTACCGGAAACAAACAAACAAACAAATAGAATAAAAAGCAGCACTAGTGAGGTGTAAAGTAAATATTCTATTGAAGATTATGAAGCTGAGTTGAGCATGCCTGTAAT